TGATGCTGATGGATTATTTGAATCTTGTGGAGTAGAAAGTCGACCTACACGAATAAAAAAAAACCTAAGTCAAATAATTCTATCAAACAAAAAAAATAGTCAATTTCTACCCGATGGTGGTTGTACAAGAAATTTTAAATGTTGTATTTCAACTTCATCATCAACTAAATGTCCAAATGGTGCAAAACGTTTTCCTCTATCAGTTGGATTTGTTTTAACACAACAATCATTATTCCCTGCTGAACGTACACCATCCAATAATGTTGCTAATAAAATATCACGTTCAGTTGATGTATATCTACATTTTGATCGTGTTGGATTATTTCTTATATATTCAATAGTAAATTCTTGTAATGAATCTTTATGTCGTACAAGACCAAATATTTCATTTAATGGTTTTAATGTACATATATGATATGTAGCTGGATCACGTTCAATTAAACATGTTTCAGTTAAACAAAGTAAACGTCGAACATGATCAACATGTCTTGATGAATGTTTATAAACAATAAATTCTGCAAATGATGTTAAATGTTCATCAGATATATATGTTGGACCAAAACGTAATTGATTATAATCATTAAGTGTATAAGATTTTTTTGATAAACGTATTTGTACACCTATATTTGTATGTGCTGAATCAATTATATTTTGAAATAATGTTGATGTTTCTGTTGTAACAAATGCATGTAAACGTGAATAATGTTTATCTTGTATAAGAAATCCACGTACGGTTGTATCACCTTCACTTGTTAATGGAATTAATTGTTCAATATCTTTATATTCATATGAACATAAATAACGATTTGTAGTTGCATCAATTTGATCAATACAATGTGATTGTATACGTAACAGTACTGGTAAACGTTGTGATGACCAATGAATTTTTGTTGCGTGTATTACTTTTGGTTGACTTGTTGCTTGTTGATGATGATAAAATAATGTTTGAAAACGTAAGGCATCAGTGATGATATCCGAACGATATTCACTTGAAAAACGCATAGTATCATTTTTTTTTGATTTTGTTCGAAATGTTAATATAAATTCTGCTATTGGCGATGAATTTGATATTGATTGTTGAGATTTATCGGATGTATTCGAAGATTTTGATAATGTTAATGATACAACTTGATCATATGACCAAGCATTTGTAAGACCAAGTGTTGATGGTTCATATGTACTAATACCATGTGTACCAATGGAAAATATGCGTTTATATTTACCACGCCATGAATGTTTAGTTACATGATAACAGGAAATATCACGATTGTCTGGTATGTTATGTGTCATTATTTTAAATGTAGCATCTAGATGATGTTAAATTCGAAATAAATACGAAGTAAAAATGAAGAGAAGACGAGTAGATAAGAAGATAGAGAGAAATTTGGCACTCTAACACTCCTACAGTTATGTGATAAGAAGGCTAGGTAAAAGAATCATACTATGAAAAACGAAACATCAATTGGAAAAGAATATAAAACCAATAAGAGTGTAGACGAGAGATGGCGAAAGATATCATTATTCATTTTTTTCGTTTTTAGTTTCTAAATGCTATTGATGTTGTATATTAATGAACCGGAATAAGATGATTTTCTTGTCTATTGTTTTGTTTCATTTGAAATTCTCTATAAATTTTCTTCAGAAAGAATAATATAATCTTATAAAAAACTTTTCAATCAGTTTTGTTTATATTGATGACATGGCTTTGTTAACTAAATTTTTGTTGATATTTCTGTTTTCTATGAGGCGAAAACGTATAACAAATTATTTTCATGTCTTTGAATGATATAGAAACATAACAATTCTTACAATTATATTAATGAAAAAAAAGTACTTTTGATCATTATTGAACAATGTATAATTAAAGCAATTAGTAAATGGTGTGCGTGTATCAGTAGAGAATTTATACATCCATTTAAACATATTGTTTTCTAAGTTAATATTGTAATATATATATATGTTGTTTGCATTACACACTATACTTTATTTCTTAGGCCGTTCAACTGATTGACCTTATCAACAGTGGAAAACACCACAAAGTGATGTTGCTGACAACCTGAAGTAGCACCTACTCTTTATTGAGAAATAGTAATGTGAAATGAATACTGAAAACATTTAGTGACCAAAATTACTGTTACCCTATACTAATGACTACAGAATGATAATAATAAAAGACTTATTTCGATTGGTATTTTTTATCTTTGCTAGCATTAATAAAATATTAAACTCATTTCGCAAATTGAAGGAAAACCCTTGTTTTTCTTTTTATTTGATAAAGTACTTATTTAACACATATTTTTCATAATAACTATATAATAAATTAATATAAACGATACATAAAAATATATTGCTATCGTAGCGAAATTACATCGGTTGTCGAAAATATTTTCAGGTCAATTGATGAGATTAAAATCGAAATATAAATTTATAGTTTTTCCTGTAAAAATCATTTGCATGATTTTTTTTTACGAATAAATGTAGAAAGATTTATTTAAATAAATCAATGATTATGTTTTATTAAAAGTGTGACAAAATCAATCTCATTAGATGATGTCTTTATTTGACTCACCATGAGTCCCAATCTAATTTGTGTTTGTATGAAATATTTTTCTTATCAATATTAAGTTAAAATGTTCTTAAAATAAGACCCTAATATTTTCGAGAACTGCTCTATTAGCTGCAGAAGTGAATGTTGTCACTAGAAATCTACATAATCATTGATTTTTGCGAATTGATTCTTCTACATTTATTCGTAAATAGTATCCTATAAATGATTTCTAATTTTAATATTATCAATTAAAATACATATTAAGTTGATGAGAAGTAACTTTGTCAATCGTTGTAACTTCACTACGACATTTACACAGAGAGCAAGAAAAATGAACGAATATTAAAATAGAACTATAAGAAATACTTTGTTGATTTATCATTGTTTTAAATAAGATTATTATTTTCATCATATGGATGTTGATTTGCTTTTGTATTTGTTATCGCTGATAATGATTTTTTAGGATCATAACCAGAAAAATAACTATGTCGTAAAGCATATCGAGCAGCTATACGTATCGTTGGATCATAAATTAATAATCGCTAGAGAATAGAAAAACAATATACTTTTTTGCTTTTACTTAGATTTCCTGTTTTCTTTATTACTTTAAATAAATCATAGGCTACTTCATCATTATCTACAATTTGTCTTAGTTGATTTTTTTGAGTTTTAAATTTTGGAAAAGATGATTTAAATTGTGGTAATAAAAATATATTTGGCCAATCATCTTCACTTGGTGTACCCAATATTCTATTTAATTAAAATTGCAATTAATATATTAAATTTAGAAAAACTTTAAAAAATTTACTTAAATATTTGAAATATTTGATCTATTTCAGAATCACCACGAAATAAAGGCCAACCTTGATACATTTCACCAAATATACAACCTATTGACCACATGTCAACTAAAAATTAAGTAAAAAACAACCTATTAGTGCAATCTAAATGGAATTCAAGTGTCAAGCATGGTATATCTTTTATTGCTAATTACAGAAAGATTATTGTATTTTATGCATTTTGGAACACATTTCTTCATCATGTTTTACTTAATCCTTCAGAAATACAATAAAGAAGGAATTGATAGATTATACAAGACATTAAACAGCTATGTTATTGCGACGGTCTGATACCGAGTTCTTGAGCTCCTCAAAGACAGTAATTAATTACAAGAGAAGATGTATGTCACAACGTCGTCGGTATGCTATCAGATGGACGATCTGAAACAAATAATCGTCAGTGACTCATCTAGGATCATTCCACGACTAATAGTACTAAGGTTTGCATAGAGTACTCAATTCGTATTTAGCAAAATCAAAAAACAAAACAGTTAAATTAGTTTTTATTCTAACCAGGTGTTCCATATAATAATGATCCAAGTAAAACTTCAGGTGCTCGATACCATAATGTAACAATTTCATGTGTATAAATTTTCATTGGAACAGCAAAAGCACGAGCAAGACCTAAAATTTAAAAAAAAAAAGACAAATATTACTTACAAAAGAAAAGGCAAACTTCACAATGAATTATCCTACCAAAATCACATAATTTGATTTGATTTTCATGATTAACTAAGATATTATGTGGTTTTAAATCTCGATGAATAATACGATGTTTATGACAATAAAATATAGCATCTAATAATTGATACATAAAACTCTAGATAATGAATATAATAGAATGAGAAATAAGAATTTAATCTACTTTTTTTACTTTAATTATTCGTCGATCTAATGGTCGATTTCTATCTAGATAACGTTTTAAATCTTCATCCATATATTCAAGTAAAAAATAACATCGTTGATCAGTTAAAAAAACATCTTGTAATTTAATTATATTTGGATGATTAAGTTGTTTTAGAATTGCTGCTTCACGCATAGCTGTTGCTGGAACTCCATTTGCTTCATGTTCATCTCGAATTTGTTTAAGAGCATATATTTTACCAGTTATTCGATGACGAACATGAAATACATCACCATATGTACCTAAAGAAAAACAAATCAATTTGATTGTAGAGAAGAAAAAGAAAACAAAACAATCAAATGAAATTAATTTTAACCTCCGCCAAGTTTTCCTATGCGTAGAAAATCACTTTCTAATTGTTTTGAATAAGTTTCAATTTCATGCCAAGAACAATCAATGAAACCACCATCTCCTGCTGAAAACATTACTTTGCTGTTGTTCACTATAAATAACAAGTAGATAATCTTGTTTACACGCACATGTGAAGACAAAATGATCTATAGTATATATATAAATGTATGTATCCATAGTAAATGTGACTGTATAGTTTTTTCTTTTATCATTCTCTCTAGATAAAAATGAATTAAACATAAATCAACTGTCGATCGATTACTTTCAGCTGTAACTTAATGAAAAATTTTATACTGAATTTTATAAAGAAAATTGAAACGAATTTAAAAACAGTTGAGTTTTAAAAGTGCACAAAATATTATGACCAATAACGATCTGTGTTTGAGTTCATTGAATATATATAATTGCCATCCATTGATACATTTGAAATAGGAATGAAAATATAATCTAGCAAATCACTATTCACTCTTCGTAAACTTCCATATTGATATTGTTGTCGAATTGATGAATAATTATCTGTTTGTGTACCTATATTTGATATATGTGCTAAAACATTAGAAATTTTCTTCTTAAATCTAATTATTATAATAACGAAAAACTGAAAATCGATTACTTTGATCACAATTAAAATTGTTAATATTTTCTTCATTATTTATTTCATTGAAATCTGATATACTATTCGATAATGAATTATTACTATGAAATGAAGTTGTGTTTTCTTTTTCAGATATTTGATGTGATTTTTCTGATGAATAATCTTTTTTATTTTGTTTTAAATAATAATAGATTGAATTTTTATTAAAAGAATTACTTTTTGATAAACTTTTTCTATAGATTTTTTTATTACATTGATATGATGGACAAGGTGTAAATGATTCATCATTATATTTTGATATTAAATTTTGTTTTGTATTTAATTTATTCTAAAACATAAAGAATTGCATTACGAATTCGAATTATTTTCAATAACTTGTTTTTGAGTTTGTAAACGAATTGTTTCATTCAATAATTGTTTTGTTTTCTTTATATTTATTAATTGAGATAATGATATTGATGATGAACTACTATCATAATCATGAGATCGTGATTGATTTTTGTGGAAAAATTTTTTTCGATGACGACATATTTCTTGTCGCCGATTTCTCTTATGTAATGCATGAAGAATTATAGTTATTGATGAAGAAAATGATGTTGTCGATAACGAAGATAATGAATTTGTTCTTTTACAAGCTGTAATTGGCTACACATAAAGTAGAGATTCATGGAACTACTGTATTATAATGGATGATCGCAAAGTTTTTAGATAAGATGTTTGTGCAGTTTTGACCTGTTCGAATGTATTTTACAGAAACCAAAAACTATAGATGGCAATCTGAATATGGATATGGGCTTCGGAATCTTTTTGTTCAAGAATAGTGATGCATTATTTGAAAAACCTAAAATAATTGTTTTCAATGGTTGGCCAACAGGCTGTTGTTGATGCTGAAAGTTCGTTTTTGAACATGCTAAAAATTGTTCGAGTCAACCGTTTTATACAGCGAATACTTCTCTACAAAATGCAAGCTGCAACTTTTACCCAAGCATTGTTTCCAAAAGCTCTTTTCAACATGAAACAGTTGTCGATCTTTCAAAAAAGAGTATTTAGAAAAAAGACGAAAACAGAGATATTTTGTAGAAAGACAAAAACAAAACTCCAAATAGTGCTCTTTTTAGAATAACTTATGATCTAAAAGCTGACATATAAATAAAGATTTCAACTTTTAGTTTCGCGTTACAATTATAAAAATTTAAATTTTCAAAGATTATTTCACAACTCTCGAACAAACAACTGAGACAAAATTTCTAAGCTCATAGTTAGCCACTCGTCAGAAATACTTTTTAGTGTGTCAAAAGTAAAGGAAACATTTTGTCTAAAAACTTTCTGATCATCCATTATGACTTACTTTCAATGTTTTTCTAGATTGATTAAGTAAACTTGAAGAAACAGATGATAAACTTAATGATGATGAAGATCTATGAAATGTATGATTATTATTAATTGAAAGATAGTATTGCGGAATTTTATTATTAGAATTTGAAGTATAAAAATTATGAATAGATGAGTGTAGATTTTTTGAATTGATCAACATAATAACTATTCAACAATAAGAAAAATTAATTTTATTTCAAAGCGGGAAATATTTTCGAATGAATAGTCTATTGAATCATCTGATAATATTATTAGATTATTGAAAACATAAGTGCAAAAAAAACATGCAATACAACTGATTTTACAATAGAGAAATAGCATTTTACTAAGGAACAATGTTTAATTGCAAGTGTTTGGCTTCATAAAAAACTTCTCGACCTTATACTCTATTTTCATTTTTGTATTTTTTATGTATTCTTTATGCTATTTTAAGAACTTTCTAATAAAAGATTATCAATAATACTGTGCACAAGGATTGGCTTTTTACTTATTTTTGTATTCATCATCATTTCATTGAATGTTTATATAATTATTTTATTAATCATCAAAAAAATAAAAATAAAAATAAAAATACGTAAAAAAATTTTAAAATGTTGTAATGCTTGTAAATGTCCATAGTCTTTCTATATTAACAGCACTGCAACCGAACATTATTCATTTCAAGTTAAAAACAAAAGGTAACAATGAAAAAAAAGCTTTAAAAGTGAGCACCTAGATTTTAATTCTACCTAACGTATATGACAATCTTGTTGACAACTTTGATTTACTTCCTATAATAAACGTCTATTATTATCAATAAAATTTTTTATCTCGTATAAATATATAGGCTATGTCAGACTAAGCGAGACATACTGACCTTTCACTTGACGATAATTTTTTTACAAAGGTTATTTTTCTGAAAAGATTCTTTCACTTAACTACTAATGAAAAAGTAATTAGCGAATATTTTTCTAATCATGAGAGAAAAAAAACCTGAAAGCTTCACGATAGAGTTTATAGAAGTTTTATCAAATCCCGAAACAAAAATTTTTATCTGACTATCATCTAAAGATTTTGAAGAAGGATTTCTATCGTTTCAAATTGGTTTTGAACTTTTCATTAGATTACACATATTATTATTTCGTACACGGTCATGTCTCTAACCAATGAGTTGGACTAAATATTAATGTGATTACATTAAAAATCTCATTTAACTATCACGCATTTGTTGTCTACCAGTTTTTTTAAATAATTCGCGAAGTCTCTTAGAAATTTCATCAAACTTAGTTGTTTATAGTTTAAAGCTTGAGCATTATTCTTCGTATACTTTTTTTCTTTAATATTTGTCATACACTTCCAACGAAAAATACGTTAGTAAAGTTAACATAATATTCTTTAGACAAAACTGGATCATTAAATAATTCATCATCAATTCAAAATACACTCTTTTCTCTTTGTATTTCGTTTTGTCCGCAACATTTTCATAAGTCTTATTCATTTCAAGCCGATTATTGAGTATACAGCATCGGCGAACATGTAGTCGGTGGATCGTGATAAGTCCTGAATAAACAAATAAGATATATAATTATTGCTTTCAATAGTTCTATATTCTTATTTTAATATTTGTATTATTACAAGAGAAGATATTATTCAATAATATATCATTTGAAAGACTGATACGAACAAACAAGTTTCATACAAAAACATTTGATTACAGGTTATTTTTGCTTTGCATATAAACTAATTTCGTTACACTTCAAAACCTATGAAATACTCTGTGCCATCAAAACCTGAGTTTATTAACATATTTTTTATTCAATAAGATGTTGTGATTTCATGATATCATTTACAAATGAAAGCACTTAAATCGATTTATCGGATTCGCTATTATCTATTTGAACAATCGTTAAATTTTACACGGACATTTTTTTTTTACCCATTAGGTTGCAGCGTGTGCGCCTTTATTCATGTTACTTGTCGGCATGCTCGCTATGTTTACAATTGTTTCTCTTGTTTTTCTTTTAATCCGTCTCACTTTTAACTATCACACACACGTGTTCGTATAAATTTATCTCCAATCAAATTCAAATTTTATTCGGTCAAGATCGAAATTGTTGTTGACCTACATCATACATTCAATATCGAATAGATGCTATTTTATAGTATAGATTAAATTTTTTTGTAAGCTTTATCATAATATAAAAGGTCAGAAAGAAAATATTCATTTAAAAAACATGTTTCAAATCCAAAATCAAAAAAGTACTCAAATCTTCATAACATTTTACAAAAAAAGGTCTTTCCATTTCACTACAAATAAAATAAAAATCGTGTATTATTTATACAAATATAGTATTATATCTTGATATAAGCGTAGAATAAATAAAGTCTCATTGTTCATAAAAACAAGTATTCTTTTTTTTTTTTTATTTAAATTATTGCAATGATAGTAGTAATTGTTTATGTTCGACGGAAACCAGATGACCGGGAATAATTTGTTCCATAGATAATAAAAAAGTATATACAGGTAAATATAAATAGACGCACAAATATACTCTCTCCATGTCATTGGCTTAATAGAGGGGAATTAATAATCATAATAAAAATAATAAAGAAAAAAAAAACGCGACAAGTATATGATAATTGAAAAACAAAATGAAATACTGTTTCTATCATGATCAGGTTCGTTGTTATATTTAAGAAAGAAACAATGAAAGAATAATAATTATTAATCAATAAATGTCCAAAGTTCAATACTCGCAATTATAAAATCTTCATTTGTTGTTAATCTTTCATTATTGAAGGTTTTAGTTGAACAAGTACGACCATGATATAAATCAGCATCAAGCCATAAACCATATGTACCTCTAAAATAGTGTCCGAAGAAATTGATAAAAGAAACACTATAAAAATAAGAAAGACTTACTCTCCACTTCCAAAACCAATGGAATGAAGATCACCTTTGACAAAAAATTCATTATAACCCGACCAATTAAACACCTAAAATAGAAAAAAATTAGATACGATTACCCAAACTTGTCCCATAATAAAACAACGAATTAATACTCGACTAACTATTTCTAATTGTTCTATGTTAATAAAACATGAGGAATTTTTTGGCTCATTATGATCTTTTATTAAATGCTTGAATAAAATAAATAATAATGCAAAAATTACTTGCCTTCAGCATCTCTATTATATTTAAACTCAATGTACTTTTTTTTATGGTCTTTCAACAGGTACTTATAATTTATAATTACTAGAAAAAACCACTGGTGAAAAAATACTATCTTGAATCATTACTTTTTATATGCGTGTAGACTATTATCTTAATATATTTCGGAAAAACAAAATGATTATCCTTCTAATTAGAAATGAATTGCGCACCATAGTTCAAATATACGTCTCAGATAATTATATAGTGTCGTCCTAAACTTTCACTATTAGCAAACCTTCTTAAATGAGTGTAATCTGAAATTTTTAGTTATAAAAAAGTAAAATTATAAAACGAAATTAATTAAATATTGTTATTGGTTTTTCGTAACAAGCGAAAAGGTCATATATTCATACTCATACCAAGAGTGCATTTTATTAAGATCGTAGTTTTTATTATTTTTTCTTACAATTATAATAAGTACTCTTTTATTAACATTGAATAAAGCAATCCATTTAGGCAAAGTATGATGGAAGATACTCAAGATTTTCTTTTCAGGAAACTAATTTTTCGACCAGTCTGTACAGAAAAAAGAAAATAAGAACAATACGAGCGAAAAACGGAAGGGCATTGTTTTAAACACTGTGATGCCAATTGAGCGCCAATGGGAGGTAGCTCTCTTGATACGTTCGTTTTCTATTTATGTTTATGTGCGATTTCCAATTGTATGTACTTACTCGAAATTCAGGATGAAGTGTAAAGAGAAATGATTCTCCAGTACCATAAAAGCCTTCACTAACCATTAATTGATGAGATGTAAAAGCACCAAATATCTAATAATATGAAAAAAACAAAAATATATTCAAAAAGAATGTGTTCTGTTTTCTTTTTCTTTTACATTTTGTTCAATATCTTTTATAATCAATAACGCTGGTGAATCATGATCAATTTCTAATGATCGTCGATATAATTGGTTTAAACTAAATCCATGTGTTTCTGTACTAAATATCAAACACCAATTGAGAGCATGTACACGTGCTGGTAATTCAAGTAAAATCTTAAAATAAAAACAAAATTCACTAAAAAAAATTTCAATATTAAGATTTATTCAATATACTTGTTTGGATTGTTCTTCATTGATTAGTGTTGATGGATGAAGAAGTTTAGGGGCTGGAATACCAATAGCAAAGTCATGTCTCTGATGTGCTTGTGTCGAACTAAGACGTCGGTAAATTTCATCGACACTAATAATCTAAACAAATAAATTAATCTTTATGTAAATATCTTTTCTTAAATAAAGTTCAATAAATTATTCTATGCGTTTTTTTTTGTTATATACCCCAGGAGAAGAATGTCGTTCGTCCGATGAAAATGAACGACTATGTGTTGAATGTTCATTTAATGTTGATGTTAAAAAACTTCTAGCACGTTTTCTAAAGCGTGTTAATTGTTGTTGATGATGAGGAATTTGTTCGAGAAAATTTTTTTTTGAATCCGATAAACGTGTTGCTAATGAATGAAGAGTAAAACGACGTGTACGAGTTGATGAAGGTGGTATTTTAGGTTCATTAGATGTACATGAACTATTGGCTGTTGCCGTAGATAAAGTACGAATCATACTTAGATTTGTTCTTCTGTTGTTATACTATTATAGTTATAGGGCACCACAACTACAGAAAGAGAGAGAGAGAGAGAGAGAAAGACTATTTGAGCTTCTCTCCCTCTCTCTCTCTCTCGTCCTATCTATGTTTTTACCAATCCTTTGAATAGTGGTTGCGTGTGCGTATGTTATTCTTTATTCTACTATGTCTCGTCTTCCATCGCTATACTTCATCAGAGAACACATATGATTATGTTGAAAGAAAAAAAAGAGCGAGAAGAGACATTAGAAAAAAAAGACGTGAAAATATGAGTAAAATAGTGGATTTTGTTTGTCGGTTGTTGAATTTTGAATAATTATACATATATATATATATATTGAGATGGTTTATAACTAAAAAAGAGTATCATAATACGGCAGATAAATGGAT